ACGTTCAAAAGTTCAAAAATTTGTTTCATATATAAACCATTAGTCAAGCCGTAGATTCGTTTGATGTTCATTGCCAATTCAGCTGTGTATGCACCTATATGTAACCTTTCAAAATTAATCTGAAACGTTATAATTATTGAACACTAAAATGTAAAGTTAGGTTCCTAAATCTTTCATATATAATCCAGCTTCATTTAGTACTCTTACCGAGCATAATACGAAAATAGTAACCAAAAAAGAAATAAAAACCCTTTAAACTTTGAGTCTAACAACTTAAAAGATGTTTCATAAGTATAAAAAAGGATTTCAACATTTAAATCAATATTATAAAATCTTTTGATTTATTAAAATGTCATATGGAATTGTAGTCACATCTATCTACCATCTTCTTTGGATCAAAAAGATAAAAAAACATGGAACAGAGTAATGCATGTCAAACATCAGAATAAAGGAAAATAGCTTTATTGTTGACCTGGAAATTTCATTCACTCTTGTGTTTATTATGCTTATTATCAAGAATCTTATCCAAATTTTTTTTGCTAAAGAAATCACATGTTAAACTAGATGAAGTATCCGCACATATGCGGATTTGTTATTTAATATTTTACAAATCTATAGAAAATAAAATATTTAATTGTGGTGAAAAAAATCAGAACACCCGTTAACATAAATAAAATCAAAGTAAAAATATTACTGCAAAACCATTGATCGAGAAACTTATTATTTATTTATTAATTTTTATGTTTTTTTTATAATTAAAATTTATCACATCTTTTGAAATTATTAGGTTTTTTAATCCTATTTAAAGTTGGTAATTTTGTTACTTTTAATCTTATTTTACTATTCAAATATCTACTTTCGAAAATGTTGATGGATTATTTCTCATATTTATATTTGAACTATTTCTACTCTTGAATATTTTGTACCTTGCAACAATCAAAGATGAAAAAAGACAAATTAGATCACTACATTTAATTAATAAAATAAAATTAAAATCGTTATTACAAAATTATTTATATAGAAGTCTATCAAATATTTATTTATTGTATTCTTATAATTTATTTTTTATATTTTTGATTTTTAACTAAATGTATCACATATATTCAAATAGTTAAATATTTCTAATCCTATTTAACGTATGATACATTTTCCTATTTACCAAATCAAGATATTATTATTTTTAAATAGATATTTGAAATGTCGCTAAATCTAATTTAAAAAAATATTTTATACTTGTATGAATCTTACTGATTGTCATAAACATGTCTCGATAAGATTAAATACCTTGTATAAAAATCTAAATTTTACTTTTACCATTTTAGTAATTATTAAATGTTAAAAAAACCAAACAAAAGTGGAAAAAAATTTACTACACCTCATATCAATGTTGACAACAACAAACAAAAAATCGTGTTAGAATGAATCATATTAAACTCAGAAAACTAATATATATTATCGTATTCTAAATCACATATAAAAAAATATAATAATCTATCTTTCCTGATGAAAAGTCAAAACAAATAAGTTTTATGGAAAATATTATTGAAGTTTTAAATTACGTAAAATGGAGAGAGCATAAAAATATGTAAATAAATGTGAAAATCTAGATATTTAATCTTAAATCTATTCAAACTAAAAAAAATTACATGTATAATATAATATCTCATTAGAAAAAGGTATTTGATTTATTGTTTTATCTATTTCTATTTCAAATTAAAACAACTAATTGATAAATACAAATAAATAAGTTTTTATTTTAAAATATTGTTTGACATGTGGCAAAATCTAATTGGACT